TCTTTTTCTATTGCCTCCCTCCCCCCCCGGCAGGGCTGTATTCTGCTCCTGGTTGCTCTGGGGTCCACGTGCCCGGAGCAGGGCTGGGGAGCTCGGTGGGGGCTGCGGCAAGCGCCCAGCTCCGGTGGGCAGCGTTGCAGCATGGCCAGCACCAAGCCCCGCTTGGTTCCTTTGCTCTCCAACTCTTGAAAGGGGTGCAGGAATAGCAATTTTACACCACAGCAGCTGCATCCACCTCTGGGTCTGGCCCGGGTGAGGAGGCACCCTGTGAGCCGGTGGGCTCACCCCGACGGCCGCCCTCTCCCTGCCTTCCAGGAGGTTTCACCACTCCCTCACTGACAACAACCGCTGGATCCGGGAGCGGAGCCACGAGTCCTACGCCAAGAACTACTCCGTCGTCTTCCCCCACGACGAGCCGCTGGCGGGGCGCAACGTGAGGAAGGACCCCCTGCACGAGGTGAGGACGCGCACCCCCACCTGGGCTGCCTCGTGAGGAGGGGTGGGAGACCCTCACAGCACCCTTGCAGCAAAAAAAGAGGTGGCACGGAGCGGCCGCAGCCGTTTTGCTCCCCAAAGCAGCGTGCCGCATCCTTACTCCCATCCATCCATCCTGGGAAGATCCCTGCCGAATCCCAAAGCTCGCCGGGTGCATGCTGCGAGGGTGCTGGGGCCACGGGCAGTTTAATGGTAGAGATGCCAAGCATTCCCCTAAGATTTAACTCGGCAGATATGGCTTAAGAGCCCGGTGATGGTCGCTGGGCAAGGGAAAAGTGGAGAGAAGAGCTCAGAGGCTTATCTCATTCACTGCCAGGGGGCTCGGGGGCGGTTGTGAGGGCTGTGGGGTGCTGGATACCTGCGGTGATCTCCTGCCCCCCGCTCGCCATGCCTCACTCGCAGCTCAGCAGCAGCTTTTCCTCCCCAAAACAGCATCTCGCAATGCAGACTAAGGCCAGGGCACGGGGAGGGATGCAGGAAAAGTGGGGAGCAGCTGTGCCTCCATGGAGGCGGTTTTGCCGGCACCCCCTAAGTCCCCGCTGGTTTTACTCCCTGTAGCTGCCAGCCAGGGCTCCTCCCTGCTCCCGTCTTCGCCAGCCGTTTCCTTGCACAAATCTCCATAGATGAGCGCTTTCAAGATGTAGCACTTGAGGAGAAAATAACCCAGTTTCCAGTGGTTTGCTGCCCCAGCAGCATTGCAGCTGCCGCAACTCAGAGCCCCCCAAAAACACCCACCGCCCCCGAGATGCTCAGGGTGACCTGGGGCCGGTGCCTCGTCCCACCCCGTCACTGCCAGCCCCAGTCCCAGCCCCGGCAAGGAGCAGCCACATTTCTCAAGCCCATTTCTGCTTGTCGCTGATTCATATCACACCGTTCCTCTTTCGACGGAGAGCAGAGGTTCAAGCAGTAAAACAGCCATCCCTTCCCGCCGTCCTCCAGTGTTTAGTTGACAGCTCAGTTTTCTGTCACCGAGGATGCAATTTATTTTTTAATAGCATGTCTAATACGCGATGCCCATTTGACTGACAGCCTGGTATTTATACATGCAACTCCAGAACATGTGCTGTGTTTTATAAATAGGCACTGAATCATTTCTGAAATGTTCAACAAAATCTATTCTTTTCCGAACAGAAGCACCAAACAAAAATATCTTAATGGATCCCTAATTAATTGGGTGCAGAGAGATTTTCCTGAGAGCACAGAGGAGAAAAAAGAAGGTTGCCATATAAATCTTAAATGTTATTATAGAATTACTCTTGTAAACATTGGGAGGAATCTTGCTCTCTGGATTTAGCATCTCTGGGTCAGCAATTCCTGCACCGTAGCACAAGCTGTGGTGGGTGCACGGCTCACGGCTGGGCTGCCAGACTCCTGCCCGTCGGCCGTTGAGGCAAATACCTTTCTTGGGGGGACAAAAATATCAGGCAATTTGCAGGCAGCTGGGGTTTGCCACTGTTTTAAAAGACAAACTGCAGAGCTGATTTTGGCTGCTGATAGCCAAAGCCAAGGGGTCACAAGTTGGGACTTGAGCATGTGCTCAGGGAGGGCAGCCTGGGCGCTGCTAAAAAGCAGTAAAAAGGCTTTTTTTTTTTTTTTTAAACCATTTGTTCCCATGTCTCCGGCTTCGCTTGCGTAGGAGCTGCTGCGACAGGGCTGCGTTTTCCAGGAGCGGCATGGCTGGGAGAGACCCGGCTGGTTCAGCCCCGGGGGAGCAGCCCCGGTAAGCACGGCACGCGTTTTGGGGGGCATTCAGCCGGAGGGTACCGGCCGTGCCTGGTGCGTGCAGGATGCGTCCTGCGTCTGCAGGCAGGTGCGTGTCCCCAAAATGGGTCCATAAAAACTGTCGGGCTTTAATTCACTATAACAGCAGTAAGAGGGAGATCTGGTGTGCATGTTGTGTGTGTCTGTCTGCCTGTCCTCTGCAACAGGCAGCATCTGCCTGCAATGCCCCCAAACGAGAGGCACCGATCTCACTTCTATATATTGAAGA